CCTCTTGCATCTATACACATCCTATGCCAATCCGCGAAGAATCACAATAAATCGTATGAGAACCTAATGTTGAAGGCAAAACCAGATCTGGAGATGTGGTCACGGTAGTCTTGAGATTCTGAAAGCTCTCCTCACACTCGTCAGACCACCTGAATGGGGAACCCTTTTGAGTCAATCTAGTCAAAGGATCTGGGATGGATGAAAACCCCTCTATAAAACGGCGATAATACCCGGCCAAGACTAGAAAAATCTGGATCTCGATAGTAGAAGACTGTCTGGGCTAAGTCTGAACTACCTCCACCTTCTTCGGATCCACATTAATCCCCTCAATAGACACCACATGGCCCAACAATGCCACTGAATCAAGCCAAAACTCATACTTCGAGAATTTAGCATATAGCTTCTTCTCCCTCAAAGTCTGGAGCGCGATCCTCAAGTGCTGCTCGTGATCCTCCCGAATGCGAGAATACACCAATATGTCGTCAATGATCATGATGACGAAGGAATCAAGATATGGCCGGAATACACTATTCATCAAGTGCATAAAGGATGCTTTGGCATTAGTCAACCAAAATGACATCACCAAAAATTCATAGTGACCATAGCGATTCCTAAAGGCTGTATTCAGAATATCTGAATCCCGTATCATCAATTGATGATAATCCGACCTCAAGTCAATCTTCGAGAATACCCAAGCACCCTGAAGTTGATCAAAAAAATTATCAATAAGTGGTAGTGGGTACTTGTTCTTGGCAGTAACTTTATTCAGCTGCCTGTAGTCAATACACATCCACATAGAGTCATATTTCTTCTTCACAAATAGAACTGGAGCACCTCAAGGAGAAACACTCAGCCTGATGAAACCCTTGTCAAGCAACTCCTAAAGTTATTCCTTTAATTCCTTCAACTATACTGGTGCCATGCAATATGGTGGAATAGAGATGGGCTGAGTGCCTGACACCAAGTCAATACCGAAATCAATATCCCTATCGAGTGACATGCCTAGTAGGTCTGCTGGAAACATATCTGGAAAATCTCTCACTACCAGAACTAACTCAACAGTAGGGGTATGAACACTGACATGCCTCCACAAAAGCTAAGTATGCCAAGCACCCCTTATCAACCATCCTTTATGCCTTCAGAAAGAATACCACCCTACTAGGAACATAATCCAATGTATCTCTCTACTCCAACAGCGGCAAACCCGGCTTAGGCAATGTCACAGTCTTAGCATGACAATCCATGATAGCGAGATTGGTGACAACCATCCCATGGCCAAAATCACATCAAAGTCCCCCATATTGAGTAACGGAAGGTTCACCCTATTCTCATAACTCCCGATAATGACCAAACTTGACATATAGATACGGTCTACCACAATAGAATCCCCAAAAGGTATAGATACATAAACAAGAGTACCCAAAGACTCACGAGACACATCCAAATATGAAGCAAAATAGGATGACACATATGAATTAGTGGAACCCGGATCAAATAAAACTGATGCATCTCTATGACAGACCGGAACAATACATGTGATGACAGCATCTGATGCAACTGCCTCAACCCTCTTAGGAAAAGCATAAGAACGGGCATGTCCTCCCCCTCTAGGACGACCTCTACCCGCCTGTCCTCCACCCTAGCTGGCTGTGCAGGTGGAGTAGCAACTGGAGCAGCAACTAAGAAATAGTAATAACCCGACTTGAGCTCTTATCAACTGTTTTGAGTTATACCCATTTGGTCTTGAGAAAACTAAATTGGGCAAAACCACTCTCTGACCGAGAGGTATTGAGTGGGTAATTTCGAGTTGATAGCTATAATATACCCCAATCAACAAAACAAGTACTAAAGTCTTTATCCCATTAGACAAACACCTAGGTAATGGTCATAGCCCTAGGCTTTTTATTCATTTGAAAAAAAGAATTAAAAATAATTTTCTCTAGTTTTCTTCCTTTATTTTGCAATCAATAGAGTAAAATTAGAAATAGAATATAAATCTTATTGTGAAAGTGCAATCTAGATAATCAAATCACTCACATTGAAACATATACCCCTAACTCTCATCTTAACTCCATGTGGATTCGACCCTGACTCTTAGTTGCGTTTCTATTATTGCAAACGACTGTTTCATATCTCTTTTGAGGTGTGCTTTGGACGTGATCACAACCTTCCACGTTCGCGGACCCACTGCTGCGTTCGCAAAGGCCAAAGCCTGCCAGCCCTTCCCTTCCTCTTCCTACTTCGCGTAGGCTCCTATGTGTTCACGAAGAGGAGCCAGGTCCCCAGTCGTGTTCACGTTGCCAGCTTTGCGTTTGCAAAGGCCAACAGCTTCCCCCTCCAAGTTTCTTCTTTCCAATCACGAGACCTCCTTCGCGATTGCAAAGCACACCATGACCAGCAAAATCTGCCAAATTTGAACATGCTCGGGGTGGTCCGAAACTCACCCGAGCCACTCGGGATAATTATACCAACAAGTTCAAAAATGTAACCCGGACCTACGTGAGGCCTCAAAATACTTAAAATAATATCACAGCCAAGAATCGCACCCCAAACCAAATTAATCAACCTTCTAAGCTTTTATCTTCTATCAACTAACTCCGAACGCGACGAGTGATACTTAAACAACTCGAAATAGAATCAAATTTCACACATAAGTCTGATATGAATAAACGAACCCATCCCTAGTCTAGGAATACCAAACGGGATCCGATATCACCAAAGTCCATTGCAAGTCAAACTTAGTAAACTATAAAACCTTCGAAATGCCAATTTCCAACAATAAGCGATGAATCACTCCCCGATCGAATATTTGTGACTTTCCCTTTACACTTAGTCTTTTTTATTGACTCTTGTTATTACTTCTATTATGTGTGAATTATATTGACCGTGCCTATTTGTTTTAATTTGGGAGTCGAGTCTGAACTGTCTTGAGGAGATCATGTGCATCGTGTGAAGTGAGGTTTAGAGTTATATTCTGTGTTATCCCTTGTTATTCTAAAACTTACCTCGTGTATGATTCAAAGCAAAATGGTTAAATCTTGTGAGTCGAAGAGATGATATATGCATTTCTTTGATTAGTCGTTGAACCTTATTGCCTACCATTGTTCACATTATTACAAGCTGATACCCTTTTTGTTCTTAATTATATTTTTTTAAACCTTTACTTCCATAAGCACTTAAGTTGCAAGAATGAGCAATAGGAATGGTGAAGAAGAAATTGGGTAGCTTTTGAGTGGACCTATAGAAAGGAAGAAAGGTGCACGTGTGTTATAAAAGAACCACTAAGCAGAAATGCCCAAAATACGGAGTGTGTTAGAAGGAAAAAAAAGAAGCAAAACACAAGTTGAAAAAAAAAAAGGAAGAAAACACAAAAAAAAAAAAAATACTTCTCCCAAATATTGAGTTATCAATATGTGAAGTGCTTAAAGAAAAAGAGCCTATTTTTATTTTAGTTTCTTGGCAAGGCCTTGGAAATGGTTATGATAAGTGTGAGCTGTTGAATGCAAAAGTTGTTTTGTATTAAAATGCTTAGGGAGGTTAGTCACTATTTTCCTAAATATTTCCTACTCGTTTCTTAGCCTACATAACACATGGTGTGCCCTACTTGATCCTGGATTGTACGAGCTTCAATTAGTCGAGACTTACACTACGGGCAAGCCTATGGTATGACCTTGGGCGGCATATGAATTTCTTTGAGAGAGTGAGCAAATTTGTTTTCATACTTGAGTCCTTAAATTACATTTGAATTCATATTTGAGTGTGCAGACTACTTTCCTTCTTTGTTTGTTGGTGAGGGCACATGGATTGGTGACGAACTCGATTCTTGAGTTGGCATAGGGAAACAAATCATAGAATGAAATGTACTGGAGTCAAATTTTGAGGCTAGTATGTTAGAGGGGGTCACTTGAATGTTTTAAATAGTCTTGGCATGTTAAAACTCTGAGTAAAGGTGTTAATAGTGCATATGTTTGGTTCTAAGCGTCGCCTTAAGCCATTGTCACTAGGTTGATGCTTGAGTATATCTTGTAAGTGCTCATTCCTATTGTGCTAAATTTTAAAGTTGTTCGAGGGCGAGAAAAAAATAATCTAAATGTGGGATAGTAATATTCGGCTAAATGTACATGTTTTAAGCATATTTGAACCTCATATCGTGTGTGTATTTGGTATGAATTGTATTATTTTGGAAGTACTTTTGAGCTAAATAAGGCTTGCTTATGTGTAGGAAGCATTTGGAATGAAAATAATTGAAAGCGAGGAAGTTGAAGTAAGTATTGAAGAAATATGAGTGAAGGATAAATTCAGTGCGCATGCTATCATTTGGCACTACCTGTGGTGCCCAATACTTGGAGAATTTCAGAGATGAAATTTCAGCGTCCAGGTCACCGTCTGGTGGTGCATGTGGCGCTGAAATCTGAGGGTCTNCCCCCCAAAACGCATATAAAAGGCACATAACCTAATTTTTGAAGGAGAGTTCGACCATTGGAGGAAAGAACACAAGTTGGAGCACTAACGGAGCAAAGATTCGATCATCTAGTTTCTCTTCTTTTAATCTTGTCTTAGTAATTTTAGGATTTTCAATACTCTTATGATTTTTTCCATAACTATGAGTATCTAGGTTTTCTAATTACGGGGTTGTGGTTGACATGAATATTTAAGCTTGTTGATTATATCCTAGTTAATACGAATTCTCGTTCTTGATTGTTTCTTTAATTTTGTGATTGTTTGGCCAGAAGTTAAGTTCTATTTATTATCTATGTTATGCTTTGGAAAGCTGTGTTTAGATTAGAATAGAATATACCTAACAGTCTCGCTTAGTTGAATATTGTAATTCATTCATTCCTGATAGATTTAATACCATAAGGATACATGATTGATATATCGTGGATAGGCGAATAGTACTATGGGCACATGCTATTCATATAAATGATCCGGTTAACTAGCAACCATAGAGATTTCAGATTAGCATGTGTAATAACTCAATAGGATTGATAAACCGACCACAACCTTGAAATCTTAATCTCCATTGATTAAAACTCGATCATAAACATCAGCATTCTTATTAGTTTAGTTAATTACTTGCTTAATACATGTAAAGACTAGTTTTAGTAGAAAAATCATCACTTTTGAGTACCTTGGACAAATAATTTATTTAGTTTGCTTAATTAACAATTAATGTAAGTATCTGTGGGTTCGACATTTGACTTTCGAGTCACTTTATTACTTGACGTCCACGTATACATGAGTATACTTGGGGATCTAACACCTTTGCGAGTCAAAGAAGGCCATTTATTTGCGGAAAGGCGTTACTCCAAATCTGTGAATAAATTAAGTTGCATTAAGATCAAGAAAAGGAAATGTTTTCTGTAAGAAATAGATAAAACAAGGAGAAATATATGCATTGGAACATAAAAATCTACAATGGCTTTGGCCAGAAGAAATAGAAAGATGTTAACGTTATAACATTATAGGAACTTATTACACACTTACTACATTTGTTTTAGCACCAGGGCCATTTTGCATCCCTCCAAGTGAAGCAATGATGTTCTGAAGTTGAGTGAGCTGCAGGACTGGAACAGTGCTCTTCAGCCTGTTGATTGTTTTGTGTCTCACATACAAATGCTGGACAGCATTNCTCTTCAGCCTGTTGATTGTTCTGTGTCTCACATACAAATGCTGGACAGCATTGAAGCTTTTCATCAAATAGTATGGCTTCTCCTCTGTATCTAGGGTTGTAATACCTTGGATGTTGCAAGAAAGGAACACCCTTCCACCAAAGCTTGAGAGCCTATGAATGTACATAGTGAAAAGGAAAAAGGTAATGAAAGTCATTCTGAGAAACACGATTTAGCAGAGATTACTTCTGATTTGTGCATCAAACATGCAGTGAGACAATTAAATGCTCTAAGAAAAAGTTAAATTATGTAGGCTAAAGCAACTCAAGTTTTACAGGATCTTCTAATTAATTAGGAGCAGAAAAACCTAACATGAAACAGAAAATTTAGATTTAGGAGTAAAAAGAACAGACAACATGACAACTAGATTCAACAAAGAAACCCCTGCCCATTGAACTAGGTGCTAATTGAAACTGTCGCAAGATATTCAGAGTATAATATCCTGACTAAACCTAATATCAAGTATAATGGAAAAGTGAGTCCATTCGCATTTCCTTCCAGTGAAAAGGGCTACCTGCCAATATATCCATAGTGCAACCTTGTGAGGCATTAGCCAGAAGAATAAAGCAATATCAGTATGTGTGGAGGAAGATACTCTTTTGGCCATCAATGAAGCTGAGAAATAGTCACCATGTTTCGGGTGATTTACTGAAATTGTAACAAACAGATTATTGCCAGGGGTATTTGTTTTCATGGTCCAGTTACCTAGCATATCCTGCAATCAATTATCCAAAACTAGTAATGAATAAAAGCTATTATACATGATGAAGATAAAGAGTCTACATGTACGAAAAGCCAAACTATTAAACCAGAAAATTAATGTTATCAAAACTGAGCTTTTCAAATCAGAAGAGTGCCTAGATACCAGGAATAGGTAGTAGGTAAATTTCAGGATAGTAGCCAGGCCATGTACAAAAGGTTAACAGGTTGCTCAACCTAGGCAGATCAGTACATTTGTATTCGACACCTTGTCACATAGTGATCTGTCTCATTTTTAGTACTCCGTCCTAACTTAAAAGTCAACCTTTCCTTTTTGGGCTGCCTCAAAGCAATGTTCCTTTTCAACCTTATGATACTAATAAAAATCCCAAGACAATGTCCACTTCTCTCGAAAGGAAGGGTGAGACCCTTCATTTGGATTGGAAGGGAAATTCTTGAAAGGAAAATACAAGGAGGAGTTGGTGGTAGTTGGACAGGATACCATGAACCCTTTCTATCCCTTAACTTGGACTTTTGTTGATAAAGAAATCAATAAAACACGAAATTGATTGTTGGTTGTGCTTCAGAGGTCATTAGATCTCAAGAATGGTTAATGGCTTACATTTATCTCTGATAAACAAAAGTATGCAAACGCAAGACTTGCCACCAAAAATTATGCAAATGCCTAAAAAGTCTTGGACTCAATAACAAGCAATATAGCAAACTGATGTATGCATTTCTAAACTATTTCAACCTTTAGGCAACATTACGTTTGAGGTTTGTATAACTTAAAAGCATAATCTTGAAGGAGAAAGTAGCATAAAACAGCAGGCTAAAGATGGAATAGAGAAATGAGCTCTGTGAACCATATGAGTTAACAAATGAAGAGCATATTATTTGTGTTATATATCACCATTGAAGGTTAGGAAATTCAAAGTAAGCAAGAAATAAGATGCCAATGCCAAATAGTGATCCCTAAAGATGGCTTACCATGAAGGGACTAACGTGAAGGGCTTTGGCAACTACATCTGAATTTGGATTGAACAAAAATGATACTCTTTCACCCCATGGGGTGTTAGTCACCTGAAAAAGAATTCAGTTAGCAAATAGACAGAATCTTGATTTATAACTAACTGTTTCATCTAAGATTAAAGAAATTTTCCGTGCAGCTGGTGGACATTAGCAGTAAAGTAGAACAGATTTGGGTACAATAAATCTTCCTTTTGAGACGCTCTGGGTAAAAAGTGTGAGGAGCCTCTTACGCAAACAAACTTGGATTGCTGACAATAGCTTATGGATAGACATGATCACTAACTTTTTGTCCAGAACTAAGACCTAAGTAAGACCTAAATCTTTGGTTATGTACCAATTAGAATGACTCACCTCAGCAATGCATTTCGCCAAACTCTGCGAGGAGCCTTCAATATCATAGCAATAGTACAAACTCAACGGGTTTTGCACATATCCCACACTAGGTGGTATTGTCAACAAGAGACTGCCTTAACAAGACGAGTAATCAGTCCATCAAATTGAAAACACTAGAATATTATACTTGTTTACATCATCAGAAATCAGACTTGGCGTGCACAATCGATACTTTGTTTATGCCAAGGCTCAATATGCCTTAGTATCTCAACAAGATACCAATAGATGAACTTCATATATATTGATTTTGAAAATAAATCCTTATACAAGAAGCAATTAACAATGGAGAACACATGGTAATTCCAAATTATGGAAGACTATGCCAAACAACGTACATAAGAGATTCCCATTAGAACTGGAAGCAAAATACATCCAGCCTCAATCTTCCTCAAAAATGGCATACTTCCCATTTTTGTCTGTCATAATTACTTTGTTTAGAAACAATTCAACTTTAAACTTCTGATTTTACTCTTAATGAGATATTCATACACACACAAATGTCAATGACTTGTTTTATATTACTCCCTCCGTTCCAGTTTATGTAAACCTATTTCCTTTTTGGTCCGTTCCAAAAAGAATGACTCCTTTCTAAATTTGGAAACAATTTAGCTTAAACTTTCAATTCTACCCTTAATGAAAAATTTTTATAACCACACAAATACTTTGCATCCCTTTCTGACATGTTTAGGATCACAAATTCCAAAAGTACTTATTTTTTCTTAAATTTCGTGCTCAGTCAAACAGGTTCACCTAAAATGGAACGGAGAGAGTATAAGTTTTAACAGTCCTTTCTTTAGTAAACTATGTGTCAGTCAAGCAACGCACATAAATTGAGACGGGGGCAGTACCAATTATTTGCACTTCAGAAGTTAAACTGTATCATGAAACAAAGTATGTACTGCCCCTAGTAAGTCAGAGTAATTGTAATTCACTAATTTTCAAAAGGAGTAAGTATTTTCTTATTAACTTAGAGTATTTCATTATTTCATTTTTCTTTTGTCCATCCCAGAAAAAAAAATGACAGTTCTAATAGTAGTAGAAATTAACTATTTTGTTTGTCTTTTGCTGTTTACATGAATATGTTGTTAGATAGAAATATTGTTTTGCCATTTTGTTCATATTTTGTCATTAGTTCTCTGTAACTATACCAACCAAATTGTAACAGCCGCAGGACTAGAAAAAAAAAATTAAAGATGAGCAATACTAAAAGAGCAGAAAAAATAGCAACGCTTACACGGGGCCGTTGGTGGCAGAAATGGAGCGAGCTTCGTGAGCTGAGAGATGGTCAGGTGGATTATTAGGCGCATGGTCAAGGTCAATGAGTGCGTAGCGCACCGGGTACCGGAAGGAATGGTGAACGGGACGACGGCGTTCGTGCCAGACAGTGCCTTCGTAGAGAGAAACAGAGTCTGCTCCAGCGTCAAAACGGATGCCAAAGTGGCGGAGGAGAAGGCGGAAAGGGAGGAGAAGGGAGAGGAAGAAACAAGTGATGGAAGTTGAAAGTAGGGAGCAGAGAAGATAGAGTAGTTCCATATCTCTCTGTCTCTTTGCCTTGGGAATCTTGTGACGTTTAATTTGAACGGTTGGTTTTGTAGTCAATGGACGGACCAAATTGTTCGAAAACAATGATTGAGTAGATTATGTTTTTGCCAAATACACCCTAACAAGTAAAGTTTTAACATTCTATCTTAAGTCGGTTCTATTTGAACTCTTCAACCATATCTCATATGTATCATTTAAACACAAAAAACTAACATGGCAAGTCAAGTGTTCCTTACATTTTCCAAGCGCGTGAAATGGTCCAAAAAATAAACTCCTTATCTTTTTTTCCGAAAAATAAATAGTTTTTACGGAAAATACTTTCCGCCAAATGTTTCTTTTATGTTTTCATCATTCTATCTCCATCAATGTAATCACCTCCTCCATTCACCCCCTTCTCCTATTCCTCCTAACCTATTGTAGTCCGACGAATGTGGCGGAGAACTTTTCGGCGAGATGAGAGGAGAAAAAATGAATAATGGCAAAAGAAATATGCAACTTGTAAAGGTTACTCATGGTTACAAACGTTTTTGGCCTTTAGAAGAAATTTTCAAGATCTGCAACTCACTAAGATTATTGTTTACCCGAAAAATCGGATAACGTTAAATTTAGATATGGTTCTAAGGGTATGCAAATTCCTTTTGATACAAAAATGACAATACAGGTATTTTAGCTATAAAACGGGAATAATGAACAGGGAGACTGAATGAGTAAAATAAAACAAGCACAATAAAATCTCAATGTATCTTGGGAGGATCCCCGTCTATTGCAGTCTATCTCCCTTTTTATAGTAGAAGGTCCATGCTTTGTCTACAACGACATAATAAAATAATACATATAGTGGAGGAACCCATGATGGTTTGTCTCTTCCTTGATTCTCGCCAAGATTCTCTCCCTCGGTGCGATTGTAACGGTTCTTGTCTGCGAGCTTAGCACTGGCTCGAGCTCGTTGTTAGATCGAACCCCCAGTCTTGGTTCGAGCTCGATTCTGCCTTGGGGCATCGATATTCGGAGCCTGTGTTGATCGGTGTTGCCCCCTAGTCCGATTCGGATACGGGCTCGATAATGATATCGGTTTTTGCCGTTGATTGGTCTTATATCTCGAAGCTCGATGCCCCTACTTCGGAATTCGTCCGAGCTTGTCACGTGGATACCCTTCGTTTGAAACGTCATTGTCTCGACCGGTCTTTATGACTGAGAATCGGTTTTCACCGTACACAGTTATAAAAAAATCTGCAACTTATAAAGGTTACTCATGATGATTGTCTTACATATAGAAAATTACAGGTAAGCCCTTTTAGTTCTTTATGTTTGTTAAAACTAAACTTTTTGGGCTCTATTATATTTAAAACTAATTAAAATAATTACTTTTACATAAGAAAGACAATTTTGTTCGCAATTCTCACCTGTATATCACTTCACATTGGCGTTGTAGAGTCTTTAAACAGAGACATTACTATTATTACTACTTTATAGAGAAGGAAATATCACTTCACGTTGGCGCTGTAGAGTCTTTAAACAGACACATATTTTTGGTCAAACTTTAAACCGAGACATTACTATTATTACTACTTTATAGAGAAGGAAATCGGGAGGAGCTTCTGGTCAATGTGAATTGACCAGAAAACCATTAAATTTTAGTTTATTTCTATTTTGCCCCTAATACCCAATATAAGAGTGCTTCACAAATTAGGAAAAATCACTGGGCCTCCTGCGCTTACAAAATTAGACACGCTGCCCCCTTTCTTCCCTATTTGACGCGTGCGTGCTCAGCAAAATCCACCCCCCACGTGCTGTTCTATGATCTACAAAAGAAATCTTGACTTATAAAAGTTACTCATGATGATTGTCTTACATATAGTAAATTATAAGTAAGTCTTTTTAGTTTTTTATGTTTGTTAAAATTAAACTTTTTGGGCTCTATTATATTTAGAACTAATTACAATAATTATTTTTTTTTTGTAAAAATATAGGGTAAAACTGTGTACGATAGATACTTGTGATCCGACCCTTTTTCAAACCCTGTGCATAGCGGGAGTTTAGTGAATCGGATTACTCTTTTTACAATATTACTTTTAAGCAAGAAACACAATTTTGTTCGCAATTCTCACCTGTATATCACTTCACGTTTGGCGCTGTAGAGTCTTTAAACAGAGACATTACTATTATCACTATTATTACTACTTTATAGAGAAGGAAATCGAGAGGAGCTTATTTCAATGTGAATTGACCAGAAAACCATTAAATTTTAATTTATTTCTATTTTGCCCCTAATACCCAATATAAGAGTGCTTCAAAAATTAGGAAACATCACCTTGGCCTCCTGCGCTTACAAAATTAGACACGCTGCCTCTTGTCTTCCCAATTTGACGCGTGCGTGCTCAACAAATTTCCCCCCTGCAGACGCTGTTTTATGTGGAGTAGTCTTCATCTTACACCGCTTTCTCTGTTTTTGTCTGTGACTTCCTTCTCTGTTTTCTTCATCTATTCGCTATTCTGTATACCTGTGTTTTATCTTTAATTGTTTTACTATAAAATTCCTAATTTCTAAATTTGTTCTATCTATCCACAACACACTCAGTTCTTTGGAGTTTTCTGCCTCCTCCTTAAAAGGGTAAGTCTTATATTTGCCTGCTTATCTTGTTTTCTTATGTTATCTCACCTAGGAGTTATTTATATTGTATAAAAGTTGATCTTTTTTGCTACATGTTATAATCTTATTCCTATCCTTTGCTCAATTTTGTCATTTACTGTTACTATTATGTGGTATGGGGATGCTGTATTGGAATGTGTATATATATATATGAGCTTTATCCATCAATTTTTTGAAGACATAAAATATATTTATATTAAATGATCGCACGAGGAAGTGATACGTGGAGCCGAACATAAAAGATAGTTTAATCCAGGCAACGTTCCTGTTTGTTACCGGAGAGAATGATACCCATAAAGATGAAATAATGTCTGCCACCCGGTAGTAGTTAATGAGGAATATTCTACAACATTAAGTACACGACCCGTTATAAGGAATATGGCATTCACTGCCTGTCGTTACATATTCTTCAATGGCCCTCATAATTGACATTAAAGGGGGGCTTGATCCTTAAACACTGTTCCCTAGGTGCAAATAAATTGGAAGGGACACGAATTTTCTGAAAAACATACGCTACATTCTATTCAAATCTCAATATAATTTTATCTTCTTGTTTACTGATATCGTTGTTATTGTCCTCGTAAGCCCAGCTCCCAGAATTACTGTTTCTATTATTTTATCTTCATGTCAAGGCTAAGTATTATATTTTTGTCTAATTTAACACTATTATTTTAGGATCAAATTAATTCACTTGTTTATAAACCACGTATAAATTCAACTGTACTATTTTACGGGTAAACAGTTTGGCGCCCACCGTGGGGCTTAGATTGTAGTGTAATTAAGTTGGTCCTTGCCTTTTTTACTAATGCGTTTGATTATTTGTTCTTAGCAAAAATCACAAAAAATGTCAGATAATGGTGTTAACAATGCACACAACCTTTAGGCCTAAGAAAATCAACCTCAGCACGAGGATTCAATTAGTGATGCCCACAGTGAGGGGAACGAGGCCACACCGGTCCACGGCAGGCGGTACCCGCGACATGTTCGAGAGGAGACTTATGATGATGCTGAAGAAGAGCACGTCATCGAAGCGGTAAGGGTCTTGCAGGAGCAACAATAGGCCATTTTAGGCCATCTCACATGGCACGATAAGGTTATGACATAGCTGAAGTAGGCGTTATTGGGTGCTTCCAATGACGCGAATGGACGAGTTCTAGTTCCTCTCGGAGCTCCCGCAANGGGCTGGGGGGGGGGGAGCGGATCCGATCACAACAACGAGGGTGATCCCTTCAAACACGAACTCATACGGTTTATGAGGGAAGTGAATGCCCGCATAGACCAAATTTCAGGCGCACCACCAGTGCTGAAAGGGACATACTCAAAGAAGTACACTCAAATGTCGTACAAATCAAGCGCGACACCAGAATTGATCCCGAAACAGTTTAAAATGCCATACGTGCCGAAATATGATGGGACTTCAGATCCCCAGGAGCATATCACCACCTATACAACGGTGGTGAAGGGGAACGATTTAGCTCCTTATGAGATTCGCGTCAGTTTTGCTGAAGAAATTCAGAGAGACTCTCATGAAGGGAGCCTTGACGTAGTATTCACTTTTGCTCGAGCATTTGATAGACTCCTTCGAGATGCTCGCGGATTCATTCATTAAGGCCCATGCCGAGGCAAGAAAGGTACAATCGATATTCAGAATTGCACAAGGAGAGTGCGAGTTGTTGTGGGAGTTTTTAACTAGATTCCAGAAGGAAAGGATGTTGCTACCGGCCGTTACGGATGAATAGGCTGCTGAAGCATTCACCGAGGGTTTGAATCCGAGAAGTTTTGATGCTTTCCGGAAGTTGAAAGAAAGCTTATTTGAGTTCCAAGCAACAACATGGCATATGTTCACAATCGATACGAGTTAAAGATAAGGATTGAGGATGATCAACTCGTTTTTCCGGCATCGGTTAAGGGTCGAGACCGGGAGAAGAATAAAGAGAAATCAAAAAACGATCTCGACACAGATCGACGGTCTTCGAGGAGCTGAGTTTTTCCCTATAAATGGGACAAAGGACGTGGCAGAGGTTTCCGGTCGACGGACAGGTTCGTTACCAATAGAAGAACTGATCGCGGCCGGATCAACAGGTCGTTATAGGACAAGGGAACGTCGGGTTCTCGAGATTCTTCCTACCCCAAACTTTCAGAATATAACTTCAACGTCAGTATAGTAGAGTTGGTATCGGCTATGAGGAACATTAAAGAAGCACGGTTCCCAAAGCCAATAAGATTTGATCCTAGCCGGAGGGATCCTAATTTGTGGTGTAAATACCACGGAACAAACGGTCACCGAACCGGGGACTGCAGGCATCTGCGCGAAGAGGGGGCGACACTGCTGAAAAATGGCCATCTTAGGGAATTGTTAAGTGACCGGGGCTAAAAACAATTACGGTCGCAATCG